CATCAGTGTGTAATCACCTGAATATAGGAATGTTTTTGTGACCTTAGAATGAGACCTTTTTTTATCCACAGACTCCACGTCATGTTGAAGCACCATTTTTCTACAGTAGCCCAGAACAGACAAACCAAACACTGGCTCTAGATAGCGCCTTTTGCGCTTTATGCAGGTTTTTTTGACTGCCACTGTAGTTTCTGTCCAACACACTTCACAGCTGGTTCTCATTCCCAGGTTGTCAAATACAGATGCGAGCAGTGTTCAGTTAGGTGCAATCTGAAACTTAAAACACTGCTAGATACTACTAAATGCTACACACTGGTCCTTTAAGGCAATTAAGAGTTGTTTAGGCTGTAGACCAGATGATGACAGCAAAACTGTCATTGAAGGAGTACGCCACATACAGCCTATCTTCAGATATTCTCCTTCTGTTCTCCTAAAAGGTGACTCTGAAAAGTTTGTAGGTTGATCCTTCACAGAGAATGGCAGCTGCAGATAGATACAGACACACAGTAAGATACATAGGTACATTCTGTTGATAGTTACTGTATACCAGGGATACTCAACTTGCTATATCCAGGGGCCACTTTACCAGATAAAATAAATAGGATGAATTTTTCCTCGGGATATTAGCAACTTTGCATACACCTATCGTTATTTGGCAAATTAATCTCAGTGGTGTAGGATTGGTATAAGGTGGCAAGTCTATCATCTATTGAGTCTATCATCCAGTTTTCATTGAATTACCTGTTTTCATTGTCAACCTTTCAACGTCATCCTTATTCATTTTTGCCCAGAGGTCAGAAATCAAGTGTCACCGCTTCTGCCAAGAAACATTATTAAACAATAACAAAATGTTGCTAAAAAAAAATTTCATTGTAAATTAGAAAATGTTCGTGGGTCACCTGCTATATTGTTTTGAGCAGAGTGTCACTCACTGCTGTATGCTATACTTTATTAATCCCAAAGGGAAATTGCAGTGTTACAATAGCCAGGTCATGTAAATTACATGACAAGTGAGGTAGTCATGAAACATAATACAATAAAAGCCATAATGAATGGGGATGCAGCGATATATTGGCCAAACATTAGTATCAGTCAATATTTATCTTGTTTACCTTGCATTTACCAATATCAGTGGCCAATGTTTATCTGTTGTGTCACATCAGTTTTGCACTGGCTAATGTTGTGTTAGTTACTTCCAACTTGGATATTGGATATTATATATTATTGTAGAAATAGTCACCTGCATTTTCCAGCACTGACAAAACCTGCAAATACTGATGTGCTGCATGCAGCAACCTGGAAAGTGAGCGGCTTTGCATCTCATGTCTCAGAGAAGATGAATAGAGAAATCGACTGAGCTCCAACAAGACAGAGATGCCTATGTTTGTAGATGTCTTCCTGGTACAAAAGGGTGAATAAAAAAACTAAACATAACATAAACATAAACTAGGACCATACTCTCAACTAATGTAAGTCCAGTTTGTATTATAAGCAGGTACAGTGAATCCAACAGCAGCATCAAAATGTCCATAGAACTGTTTCAAACCATCGCTGCACAATAAACCACTTCTGTGTCTGCTCCTATGATCAGTATGTTCCAAACTCCCCAAACACATATTTCTGCTAAAATGTGGCTAAATATACAGCCTCCATTTGTCACTAGTCTGGTTAGCTGTTTACGTCTGCAGTTCCCCACTGGTTGTCATAGTGCAGAATGCTGTACAGTGTGGAGGTCTGACTTCTTCATCTGCATTTAGCTCAAGATAGACGGAAACATAATATCAATTTTAACTCACAGCTGCATCATAACAGTGCACCTGCATGGCTGGCTTTATGAAGGAGGAGCTGGAGGAGGTTCTAAAAACAGTTTTAGTGTTAACTCAAAATAAATCATAGGACAGTAGTACCACAGAGTGCAGAATGTCCTGTACAGAGTGGATGAGTGCAATTAGAGAGTAGACTTCAGTAGATGTTGGTAGGATTTTCACTCTCAAACAGCTGCCTCAGGGTCCGGATAGCTGTCTAAGTAAACATCCTTGTATCACCTGACAGTGTAACATTGCCTACTGTATAATCTGTATTGTGTCATCCGTGTCCATGAGTCAACTCTTGCTTTTTGACTTCATTAACAGCTGTAGTAATATTTTACACTATTCCATTATATCCGTTATATTTCTTTCTGACAGCAGGACTTTTATTTTTTGGTAACATTTTTTGTAATGAAACTTTCCCACAAATGGATCAAACAGACACTGTAGCCTTATTGAGCACTTTGGGTTTGTCAGGTTTGCTAATGATCAAAAAAGTTGCAGTCAAGCAGGATTGCATCATGGACAAATTCAAGAGATGTTTAAGATGAAAGTACAAAAATATTTTTGCATAAGGCCCAATCTTCCCAATCAATCTTATGTTAAGTTTTCCACAGTTTGCAGAACTGCGGTGTCAGTGTAAAGTTCCATGTGCGGAGGATGAGTTGAGTCTCACAGCCTGAGGGAAGAAGCTGCTCTGTAGTCTAGTGGTACGGCAGCGGATACTGCTGTATCTCTTGCCAGATGGCATTAGGGTAAACAGGCTGTGGCTGGGGTGTGTGCTGTCTTATAGTATCTGTGCAGGCACATCGCCTCACCAGTATCACTGATGCTGGGTAGCTGAATGCTAATTATCTTCTAGGTGGTTTTAATCACCTACTGTAACATCCTCCTGTCCTGGGCCATGCACCAGTCAGGATGCAATTGTTCCTCTGTAAAAGTTAAGAACTTGGCACAGGAATTTTGCTTTCTCAAATTTCCTTAACCAGGGTGGAGATGTGGGCTGACCATGACAGGTTTATAGAATGTTGATTCCCAGGAATCTAAAACTGTTTACCTACTCTACCTCTGTTCCACTGATGTAAACATCGGTCTGTGTCTTCCCTTTTCCTGAAATCAACATTCTGCTCCTTGGTCTTGCTGTAATTTGTTTTCTGTGAGCACCTCGGATTTCAGTCATGGGTGGACACAACAATCTCTGATTTCCAGTTTCCAGGTAAACTTGAGTCTTATTCCATTCTTATTCCTTTTTATCCTCCATCCATTTTATTTTCTTGTGACCAGAGTAGGCTGGGTAGCGGAGCAGTTGGGTTAGCTTAGCTCTTATTGTTCCGAAGATGTTGTGGGCAGTGATTGTGTCAAGGTCTGTTGTACTTCCTTTTCTGACACTGATGTTTTTCTGTCATAGGTAATATGTGCTTTGGTAATAAAGGCAAAAAATAACAGATAAAAACAAAAATGTAGCACAGTTTAAGGAAGATACTGGCCGCAGCATCTGCAACGTGCCATGGTAATGGTGGTGATGTGCTGAATTTAAATAAACTCAAACCAGGCAAAATCCCACTGAAATTCCAAACCTAATTTACAATGACATGGCCATGACACAATCTATGTGGATCACAAAATATTCCCACTTCTATCAGTTCGTGGTCTACCAGTTTGAAACAGCCAAGGTTCCAGCTGCATAAAGTTGCAGATACTGAGTCTGTAGTTTGACAGTCAGTTTGTATGGATTGACGGTTCTGGAGGCAGAATCTGTAATCAGGAAGGTGTGCTGGCCAGTGAAATGAGCTACTGTAATGTTTGGTTAGAATGAAGACCTGCATGTTTGGACCACAGTGGCTTGTGGTGATCCATCTCTGCTTTATTTGCTTAAAAGCATATTGTAGTCAGTGCTTGCTGCAGTTTGTACAGAAAACATCTGTTTAATCTCCAAATACTAATGGAGGCGTGTGTGTAAATCACTGTACACCAGCCACCATAACAACACTGTGTACTGGCAAGGATCTAGCAATACGATGATACATATCCCGATACAGAGTTTACAATTCAACATACAACGATACTGCGAGCAAGGTGATAAATTGCGATTTTAAAAAAATCAAATTTTAGGAAAACTGTATTTGTACCTAGCACAGTAACTGTAACATCCATCATCAGCCCTCAGTTTAAATCAATGCTATCTAGCAGTTGGTTAATACACAAAAATCAACACATTATTGCAAAACAAAATATTGCAATACTCAAGTGTATCGATATTTTTGTGCACCCTTAGTAACAATCCATTAGTTCATTTCCAGAGTCTTATGGCAGCTTGTAAAACCATACACATCCTATAAATGTGAGTGTATCATCCCATAACCGTGTACCCTCACCTATGTCTTCCACTGCTCCAGGCCACCACATGTATGTGGACTCTGTGTATGCCAAGCACTTCCAGGAAGTGGCCAAGCTGACCTCACCCATGACTACGGTGCCCATGGCCGGCTGCCTGTCCTTCTACTACCACCGAGACCAGGAGAGGGGAAACATCTTTTCAGTTTTCACCCGAGACCAGCTGGGCCACTATGAGGAGATCTGGAGGCCGGAGGTTTACGCTACCGCCGGATGGACTCTGGTCAGCGTTGACATCAAGGCCCCACACCCCCTGGAGGTCAGTACTGGAGCTAGCATGCACAATTATCCATGCGCTAAGAAACTGGATGAACAAAAAAAGCACTATGTTCTGTTCTGATTCGTAAAACATGAATGATGAGTATGTTCCAGCAATTATTGCAGTGCAATGCAGACCTATTTAGTGTATGTATAATGACTTCTGTGGAGGAGCTTTGTCAAATCTGAAAATAATCTGATAATGTCATCAGGGTGATCTCAGCTTGGGCTTGAACACCACAAATTTATAACAGAAACTGTGTCTCAAAGGGCCATTGGAGTTTGAAAGATGTGGGCGGATGTGGCAACAAAAGATGCCATCAAGTTGCATCATTGGAAATGTAGGATCCCCATAAGGACTGGGGACTAAAAGTCAGGATATTCTCAGCCTCTGCTGCACAGATTTTTATAGTTCTTCTTAGATCTGTAATGCGAGTCCCCCGACATAATGAAAACGCAATGCTGCTTAATAATGCATATATGTTCTTCAACCAACTGCTTCTGTGCTGTCTAAGCATGCTGCATAAGGGTTGATAGCTGCAGCACATTTCTTGCAGTCTTCAGCAGAGAGCATTGTCCTGAGCCTTGGCAGTCACCATATAAATGATCCTTATGGCCTGTGGGAGGAAGCTCATCCTTTCTGTGTTGCCCTTGTTACTGTGGAGGAGTTTGTTTGACTGCAGAAGCTGAAAAACGTATGATTATCCTTCCCATGGTCTTGTACAGTCTGTGTAGATGCATATATATATATGAGGGTGTAGACTGAGACCACCTCTAAAGATCCGGACAAATACAGTACCCTTACAGGGTTTAGTGTCCTGTCAGATAAAACCTGTACATTTTAAAGGTCCTTAAAGGTCAATAATTACGTACATTCAAAAAACACTTTTGACTTCCAGTGTTTAACTACGCGTTGTGTGTAGGACAGAAATTCATGAGTCAAGGGGTTTTGTTTTTTGACAGTGTTTGCCACAGTGACCCTAGCCTTGTCTACTGTTCAGATGTTCAAATTTTAGGAAAACTGTCTAAAGAATAAAAAATAAAGTTACAAAATCATTAATATTAACATTTTTTATGTTGTACTATGAATATTTCCCATCAACATGGTGCACATTCTTTGCCAGTGCTTTAACCTCTAGGTCTCCTAGATTAACACACTATAGCTGAGTGAAATTGTCTACGACAACTCTCCATATAGCCTAGAAATCTGACTGCAGCTAAAACTTTCACATCCAACAACTTAAGACACTTTTACGTGTCATGTCATTTTCATCTTAAAATTTTGATAGAAAAGTATTTAGCTCTTGTTGTAGGGCTGGGGGCGCTTTCTCATTTCATCTGCTTTAAATGCTTTAAACTATGATACTGTATATATATATGATATATGACTAGCATATTAAGTGTCTCTTGTGTTATTAGTCTAGTGTGTACAGGCAGATGTTGCAGGGAGCCTCTTGTTCATCATGCAAGGAAAAAAAAACATATGGTACTCTCTCTTATTGTTGTGTTGTGTGCAGCTGAGTCCACACACACACACACACACACACACACACACACACACATGCACTCTCTCCTCTGTGGGTTTCCACTGCACTTTGAAATTAGTATTCTTCCCTAAGACTCAACGGTTTCCTTTCCTTGTGCTTTCAGCCAGAACCCCTCCCACAGCCCGCTGCTGTTCTGTGGAAAGAAACTTGCGTAACATTATTAACTGGGTCGGGTCCTCTGTCCAGCCGAGCCAAAAGTCGTACAGAGGTTTTCCATCAACCAGCGCTCTGCTGAGTAACCCATGTTCCTGAATTTACCCCACGCTGATGTCACCGTCTGGTTTCTGTAGCTGTCTCATCTATCAGTATATGTCATAGGCTCGCAACATGTCTTTAACAGTTCACAGAGCATGTTCTCGGGATTAATAGCTCTCAGTCATACGTTGCTTATTTGTTAATGGTTGCTGTTTATGTCTGTGTGTGTTACCAGGTGGTGTTTGAGGTGGCTTTCAACAGTGCCAGAGGTGGATACGTGGCCATAGATGATATCACCTTTTCCCCTGAATTCTGCCACACAGACACAGGTGAGAGAAGACGTCTGGATCTTCGGGGTGCTAATGATTAATCACAATCATAAAGACTGTTCTGTATCTCAGTCCTGGTTCACTGGCTGTTACATATGCTGGACTCCTCACTTGTGGCCACTGGAGGCTGCAATGTTAATTACACCTCACAAAGCAAAAGTGTGGAAGAGTGCGCTATGGATTTGGTTTTTAGTGTTGGGGTTAGGAGGTTTGGGCTCAGAGATTCTCAACAACTCCCCCCACTCAACCCCCTGGGAGGCACTTAAAAAGGGAGGCAAAGGAAAAAGCAAAAAAGTCTCACTCAAGACCCATGACTGATGTAAGATAGCAGCAGGGTGAACAGGCTGTGGCGGAGGCAAAGGAAAGAATTAAACTTAGAAAGGAAGAGAAGAGTCAGGAAACCAGAAAAGAGAGGGAAAGAAAGGATAAAGGAGAGAGCAAAAAAGAAACAGGGACAAAAGGTGAGAGAAAAAAGAAATGAAAGCAAAAAAAAGAGGAATATAGACGATGCTTATGGTCAGGCACCCAACATGCATACATAAGGGTCAGGGTAACTATAGGGGGTTACGGCTGTGGGGACTAAAAAGGTAAACTTTGTGTGACAGTCTTTGTTTTTGTGCTAAGGAAAAATATTAAGTTCATTAAGGGTTCCAAATGTCACAGCAATCTGCCCGAGGCCCTTTTCATACATGCACCTTGTTATGTAACTGTGATCGCAAATTTTGTCGGCCTCGTGTTTGAGTGAATAGGCACCCGAGTCACTGTACAGGCCATGATGGCGTTCTGCACAGGCCTGTAATATTTTCCTAACCCTTCCAACGTGGCTCAGTTCTGAACTGAATGTCTTCACATTAACACAAAGACTACCAGCAGCTCAGTTCAGTACACACAGCCATTACTGGTAACCACACACTGTGGATGAGCCTGTTTTAAAAGCTTCTTCTCATGTTAGATCAGTCTATAAAATGTGATTTTGTTTTTTTATTGTGATACAGAATAGGCTAAAAACCATGAAGTCTGCAAAATGGAAATGTTAAGTTGAGGCTTAACAAGCTACCTCGCATTTATATTGTCCTACTCATCAAACTTTGGCTAGCATGGCAAATATTCATATTAGTACAAGTAGTAAGTAAGTAAGTATAAAGAGTATTTGACTCTCTTCGTGAATATTTGAACTAATTAAACTGCATACTTCTTTTAAACATGAAAATCAATTCAGACTGGAGATGCTGTGTTTTGCGTTCCAGAGCCGACCATTGACCCCTCCATAGCCAACTGTGACTTTGAGAATGGGCTGTGTCTGTACTATCAGGAGAGAGCAGAGAGTAAGGAGTGGAACAGAATTTCAGTCAAGCCCAATGCCTACAGGATAGGAGACCATACCACAGGATCAGGTGAGTCACACTGCACCGCAGACTGCTCACTGACCACACCGATAGGGATTTATGGACATGTTGTTTTACTATGGGTTTGTTATCTGCAACTACACAGCTAGATGCCTAAATCCTACACACTGGTCCTTTAATGAGCTGTAACCTGGGGCCTCCTATATCCTCAACTTAAAAAACCTAGTGAGGCTGTAGTACAAGGTCCTTCTTTGCATTTGCACTTCATTTCACAAATCGGAAAACTTTAGATATACACCGTTAAAAATTCAAAAGCTTGAGTGTGTCATTTTCATGGTTTGTTTGGTTTAGCTGAATCCAGGCCCGTGCTGGCCGCTGGCCCAAAACAACAGCCAGCACAAACCACTTGACTGTTTTTCAGTTTGCAAAAGCAAAAAAATCCAACAAGGCAACACAGGGACAACGTAACCAACCAACCAACACAAAGACTAAATACATAGCTGAGGGGAAGGATAATGGGAGATGGGTGAAAATAATCAGGGTGGTGCAGACAATCAAAACTATAGGGAAAACAGACAAAGACAGGAAGTGAATTTAAACAAGACAGAAGACAAGATGTTTACCAAATAAAACAGGAAATAACAGACCCAAGTGAACCCAAAACTGTGACACAAGACCTTTTTCCTTTGCTGTTCTTAATGTAAAGCTAGCAACAATGCAGTCCAGGTGACAACATAGTGAAGATATGTCAGACTTCTTTCCTAAATCTCAATACAGATGTAGTAATAAGAAGATGGTTCTTTTTTTATGTTCAACCTTGTTGAGATTTGAGAGTATGTGGAACTTTGGTATCATCTCCTGAGCAATGTCCTAATTAAGGTTCAGGAAGTCATCCCTAAACTGGATGGAGAACAGAGGAAACAAAAGTAGGAGCAGTGATAATGGATACAGGTTACATTACAATTCTTAAGTTCATGGATGCCAAAATGGGCATGGGAAATTTAGGAAAATTAACAATTATATTTCAGTATTTGCTGGGGTATTTTGTTCAAAATAAAGATGTGTTGAATTGTAACAACATACTGTATATTATATGAGACATCCCAGTGATGTACAGAAATATGAATTTTGTGAGATTGTTCCACTCTTCCTTGCAACTCTCAACCCACTTTACCCAGGCAAGAAAACCTCACTTGCTGCCTCATGATGGACGGGGCATTTTACTTTGCACAGTGTTCCATTGTAGTAGAAGTAACATTACCACTCTTGTTCTTAATTATGTTCCTTTTCTTATCTTTCTTAGGCTGTTTCCTCCTGGCAAACACTCGTTTTACTTCAAAGCCTGGTTATATGGGTCGGCTTCATGGTCCCTTTTTACCGGGGAACCACAAATACTGCCTGAGGTTCTTCTACCTGCTTCATGGCTTTAGGAAAGTAGACAACGCTCTGGTTCTTTACATTTATGATGAGAACAACGTGGCCCAGGAGAAGGTGTGGAGCCTGGCTGACACTTCCAGGTCTGTATGGACGGAGGTGGAGATCACCTACACGAAGCCCATGCTTTCCAAGGTACGAAGCACTAGATGTAGAGGTTGATGTTTTTAAATGATCTGAATGTAAAAAAAAAGGTTGATGGATGGATGAATGGATGGGAGATGAATAGAGGTAATTATGAATAGACTGGATACATGGTTTAACAGCAGTACTCAGTCTTTCTCTCTGTTTCCCAGTTTGTGTTTGTCAGCCTATGTATGAACTTCTGGGAATGTGGCCTGGTGGGCATAGATGACATCACTGTCACCCTGGGGGACTGTCAGATCACAGCAGGTAAAATACTCTTTAAGGAGCCCCCTTAAAGTTCCAGAAACGTTATATTGTCTTCTTAGACCAGGTCAGTACAAAATAAGAAAGTCTACTGCCAGATTGGAAAATTATTGGTCTGATCAATTAAAGCCACCTTTTGGCTATCAGTCCCTGCTAAAATGTTGGGAAACAGCCAGTTTAAACCCCAGATTCATCACCCTAGACAAACAACACCTCATTGCAATACTGAACACTGAACAAGCAGCAACCTCCATGGCGGTTTTGGTGTCTATAGCTAAATTTCCTATTCATGACAACTGTATTGGGGCGAGCCACACAACACTATGGGTGGTGTTAGTGCTCCCCATTGCAGAAAAAATGTTGATCGTGAGTAGTATCAAAAACAGGGTTTGCTTTCATGAAGATATTAAGGATTATAACTTTAAGGGTAACATTATATGGCCAGAAATATATGGACACCCCTCCACACCCATTGCTAATTGGTGCATAAAACCAAGGACACAACCATGGAATTTCCATTGTCAAACATTTGCAGTCGTATGGTTTGCAACGAAGAGCTCTCGCTTGCAGCAACGGTTCAGCTGTGAAGTGGTAGGACACAAGCTCACCATAGGAGCACTGAATACTGAAGTGTGTAAAAATCATTTGTCCACCCCTTCAGTACATGAATTGTTCAGAGTTCCTAATGACATGGGTTTCCATTGCTGTGCACACAAGCCTAAGATTACCTTGCACAATGCCACGTGTCAGCTGGTGCGGTGTAAAGCTGATGAGCAAATCGGGGTTTGGCAGACGCAGCCAGGTTCCAAACACTTGTGGAAAACCTTCCCAGAAGAGGGAAGGCTGTTATGGTAGCAGATGGTTTTGGAATGACATGTTCGACTACATACTTTTTTCTCATACAGTATATACACATAGATAGAATAGAATGCAAGACAGCATTAAGTTGCGGGTGGTCAGACACCAATATACTGTAGGTGTAGATGGTGTGCATTGAGGTAGTGGTGGCCAGTGAATAATTTCCTGGCTGGGGCTACTTACACACTGACATTGTTGTATAGCTTGGTGCATTAAGGTTTGACTACAGAAGACCGTTTTTTATTCCTTTGCGTCAGTGATAGCCATGACTGAAGGCATTATGTTTGCAGGTTGTCCGTCCCATACTTGTGAACTCAATGTCTCAGGAAAATGCACGCGACACCATGTTGCAGGCCTCCACAGATGTCACGTGAGCTATGACAGTGTTCAATGCGCAGTTTTCTTATCCATCTCTTTAATATTCTAACTTAATGAGTAATAGACAGTTTATGGAGGTGAACTGTAAATGTTTTAGAGTCAAGATCAGTATTATCGTTTCTTCTCTGAACATATAACCTATAGAAATCCCCCCACTGACCTGTGCCTGCTGGGCTCTCCTCTCGCAGAATGATCCTGGAGTTTTTGGGCAAACTGCAGCACACACTGCGCCATTTTCTTAGTAAATCTCAAACCTCAAGTAACCATGTCGCCATTGTGCATTGACTGTGTGTGTTTGCTCCACAGGCTCCCTCCCAGGCCAGTGTAACTTTGAAAGTGGAATCTGTGGCTACATCCAGGATAAGAAAGAGGACAAAGCCGACTGGCTGCGAGTCCGAGGACACACCCCCACCTCCTATACAGGACCCAGAGGAGACCACACTACTGGGGTGGGTGAGTCATTTCCTCATTCATTGATTTATTTATTTATTCAGAGCTCAGACGTCCACATGATGGCTGGATGGAACCCTGTGTGTGGGCGAAACGTCTAACATTCGAACGCAGAAGATCCGTCCGTATACTGAAGCTGTTGGATGTTCATAGTCTCTGTTCTCATTGTTCTTATTCACACAGCAGTTCTTCTTTATGTGTTGCCTTTTTACAGCTACAATAACAAGTGGGAACCACTGGGATCAATAGAGTCCACACTGTAAAGTGTGTTATTCACGGTTTTGTCCACTTTGTGCCTCCTTCAGGTTACTTTATGTACATCGAGGCGTCACTCATGCGTCCGGGTCACAAGGCTCGGCTGCTGACCTCTGACTTGCGGGGCTCCTCGTCCCCTCAGTGTTTGATCTTCTACTACCACATGTACGGGTCTGGCACCGGGATACTGAGCGTGCTCTTGCGCCACGGCAACGTAGAGCGGGACACGCTGCTGTGGAGACGGCGCGGCGAGCAGAGTGTCAGCTGGATGAGGGCCATGGTGGACTACCACTGCGATGTCCGACACCAGGTATGTCAGTGTGTAGATTATAGTCACAGACTGTCTCCTCACATAAAGATAGTGAGAAAACGCCACAAAATATCAACAGCTAGTGGCAAATTAGTCAAGTAATGATTTATGAATCCATATTTTGCTAGATACACCAGTGCAATATATTCTCTCTCCTCACAGTACACCTCTTTTGAATTCTTTGCACTGAATAATAAACAAAAAGCTCATAGTTAACAATCTCACCAATCATCACATATGACCCATTAGAAGTGTGTGGCGGTGTCTGTATCTACAGAGACCCTGCAGCCCCTCTGCCTGTGTTTTCTTGTTTTGTTTTGTACGGGACATTTCCGGGGGTCAACCTTTAGGCAGTGCGTAGGGTGTGAGGTCGGGATAAAATTGAGCTACACACAGCAGACAGTGCAGCCTTGACACAAAATCCTCCTGCAGGATTGTGCAGAGGTGCTTTAGAACATAACCGCTGTGAAGCAATCAGAAAATAACATTTTATTTCTCTGATTCATTACTTTGTTCTCTATAACATCGCCCCCTTTCTTCTGTCACCATCTATCTTGTTGTACCATCAACAAAGGGGGGGGGGGGACTTTGAATAGAGCATTTACACAGCAATGGAAAAATCCTGCACAGTTTTGCCTAAAGTAGACGGTTAGAGATTCATGCTGCATGCTATTCGCTAATTTTTCAGTTAATCTGCCCGTCTGCCAATTTAACAGCCTTTCAGAAATGCTAGTAGATTTTCAAACATTCTTTTACTGAACATTATTTAGCGTTCTATGCAGTATGCGTGAGTAAATAAGGTCCATAACACGTTTCAGTTTCACTCAATTTCACATGACCATCGTAGTCACAGTTTGTGTTTCCTGCAGATTATATTTGAAGCCATCCGAGGCCCATCACTAAGAAGTGATATTGCTATTGATGACATCCGTTATAAAAGGGGACCATGTGAAGGTTAGTATAATACACAGTCTAAAATCCAATCTATTCCATTCTAAACAGCTGTTGTTGTGTCCCTACTGTGTCGTATTCAGACATATTATCACTGTACACGAGCAATATCCAAAATCCAAAACTAGACCTGATAATAGTTTAGATATTTGTTCAGTATGAGTGTTTAAGAAATACAATATGCATTGTTTTATAAGTGGAACTGTGATATCTGTGTTGTCTTGTCCTCCTCTTCAGATCCTGGTGACATCACTCCATACTCTGGCTCCTCAGAGTATTTCAATGAGATTGAGAACTGAGACTGGCGGGAGAGTCTTTCTGTATAAATGCTTGGTAGTTTTGGCTGGTATGAATGTGAACAATCCACCATGACAATTTACAATGTTGTAGAGCAATGCTTATGTTGCAGCCGCAACCTCCACCACACTGTACTGCTGTCTTCCTCAATGTCAGTGTTTGTGCTTTTAGTGTCTCTGATCACAGTGCCAGATGATGGAATTAACGTGCTGGGGAACGGTCGTCAACATTCATACATCTTACGTCTTAGTCTCGTGACACTCAATCACACAACCACAATCCACTGTTAAGGCCTGTTGACACTTTGCACAAGAAATATTTGCCAGGTATGCCACAAGTCAATGATAAAAGGCACTTTCCTTCAGTGGTCGGGTATAGTGAAGTCATTTACAAATGCATCCTCCTGAAAGTAAACCCAGCACAGTGGAGGCCAACCACTTTCTGTAAGAGTTTTCTTCTAAATATAATATACATATTTCACTGTCTAGGGTGATAATATTTTACATATTAAGGCTCCAGAGTGTAGGATATAGTGGAATCTAGTGGTGTAGATTGCGACTCCCTCGCTTCCCCCTGCCATTCAAAGCACAAAGGAGAAACTACGGTGGCTGCAAAATACACACAAAAAAGTGTTTTGTTTGTCAGTTCTGGGATACTGTATAAACATGCTGTCTGTGGATGTAAAAGGCTCATTCTTTGGTAACAAAATCATAATTGCTTATATCCCAGAATTTTGTTCATTTCTATGCAAAAAACTAAATGAAATTGTAATTTTTGATGTTCCGATTATTAACACATAAACTTTAACGACAAGAACCCAAGCTGTATTTACAGAGCCTTCACTCTGTATAAATAGCCTCACCTTGTATCAGAAAAGTAGTTTAAACAACCAAAGAGCTAATAGAACAGTGAAAAGAAAACACAGAATTTGTTTATTTGTTTTGTTTATCAGTACTTCTGTACTGATAAACTTAGTCAGGGGTTGTCAGTTTATCACTGCATTTAAGTGATTTATTTCAACCTAAGTTCTTTCCAGAGCCATAGGAGAAATTCTACAACTGTTTTTATAATTACAGTGACTAGTAAATGGATTCTGACATGTAAAATCAGAGCGGCCCTTTAAACCTGATCTGTCTGTAAGGGGGGAGTCAGAGACTTTAAAAACAGTTTGGTGTATGTGAGATGTCTGGTTCCAGTGTGTCAGTGTAAACATCAGGGAAAGGAGTGAAGCGTGACAGAAGGCAGACTTGTCTGCCAGGAAATGTTTTAATATGAAACATATGGAGGAAGTGTTGAGTTTGGATTGACAGCGACACCAAACAAGCCAGCAATGCCAAATTAAACACAGCAAAGTGGAGCACATCATAAAACAGCTTCATAAAACTTCATAAAAAAACAGATCAAATATACTTATACTATAAAGCAGAGGGATCTGGAAAGAAAGGTTTGTTTGTAGCTAGCCTGCTCCAATAAATGCCTCATTTATAAAAGATCCATACTTAAAGGTCCAGTATGTAACATTTCATAGATCTACTGGCAGAAATGGAACTAATAATATTCAAGGTATTTTTCATTAGTGGTATTAATCATCCTGAAAATAAGAATTGTTCTGTAATTGTTATACCTTACCCCGCCCTTCCATGGTTGATGATTTCTTCGCGTTAAATTGGTTTTTTGATGACTGCTGACTTTGTTATCTACAGCGTACGCCAGTAACACAATTGCTTTCATATAGACTAGGCTCTATATTAGTGTATTGTTTTGTCACGTGTTTACAATTTGAATCATGTTGTAACATCTGTTAAATTGCCACTAAAAATCCTCCAGCGTCTAGTTGAATTCCTTTAACTTAGTCTTAACATTAATTTTACTGACTAATGGTAGCCAGTATTAATGTAGTTAGTTTAATGATTGATATAAATAATATAAGAATAACCAAGCATAATACCGCTTGTTCTGTGTATCTACTAGGTCATAAAAGACCCAGTTTGCTAATACGCATCCTGTGAGTATATGTCTATAAATCATCAAATTAACTTAAATTATGAACAGCACATGCCTCACACCTTTGCTTGTATTCTTACTATTGAACTATGTGTCATAGCTAAATATGTCACACAAGACTTGGTGCTTCTTTGGGTAAGGAGATAAGATCATTCTATGTCTAAATATGTGGAAAATTAATAATTTAAGTATATAGATATGAAGTAATAGTATTATAGGTATATAACCAGAAACACAGTGATCAGAGCATTCTGTTTGATGGACCGTGCATACAAATCACTTTACAATTAATAAAACAAGTAATTTAATGGTCGACGTTGTAATAATATACGAGGTCTTATGTATAACACAATGTGTTTGTTTAAGTAGTATATATCACTTCATTGTTAGTGTTTGGATATTTTTTATAGGATAATCTTTTGACAAAGAAATGAGTGCCAACTTATCGCTTATAAAGTATCACACAATTTCCAATTATAGGCATCATTGAATTAGATTGGTTATATATTAGTTGCTTTCCAAAAAGAACTGATAAACCACCTTCAAGCCAGGGAGGTTCGTGGCCACCTACTGTGCCTTCACTGTGAGAACTGGAAATATGTGTATGTAGAAAAATTGGTACTGGAAATAAAATATCTTTGTGTGCATTATGGCAGCTGGGCCTTACTGCTGCCGTAGTTCGTGATAGAAGTGAATAACAATACAACTTATACACACAACATCACAAGCAACATTAACAAAATAGCAATACACTTATCCTGCCAGCTAAACCTTGCTTCTGCTGGCAAAAGCATTGGACACGTATCTTATTGAGAATTTGATGCATTATAGGCACTTCTGTAAACCTTATTTGTTTTGGTTATATAATTAATAATACTTTTCATTTGGGCCATCCAACTGTTACCTGTATTGTATCATTAGCTACTGCTCTGTGTAGTTATATTTGTTAGTATCTAATCTTGAATAATTGTATTAGATATTAGAATGGATGCTTGAGCTAGTGGACACAGTTTTCAAGTATGAATGCCGTATATACGAATACAATTCTGCTAGATACTTCCGATACTAGTAATCTCATCTCGATCTACAATCCATCTGCATTCTCATCTTCATTATACTCATGATAATTAAGGCTGTGATAATAGGTATATTTGTTTCATCACATTTTGCATCTCATCTTGTGAGTCCGGTATCAGTTATTAAGTCACAGTCTGGCCCAGGAGTGGCCACCAGCAGGCAGTAAAGAAGAACAACCCCCTACATATTGTGCATATTGACTTATTAAATACATTTTGAAATTTGTCATATCTATTTATATGTTATCTTTCAATGTATGAGAATTTACAGTAAGTAGCTGATAATCTATCGTCTCCTATGAGTTTGAATCCATAGTCGTGGACTCTATTAGCATCACACAGTTATATATACTACAGATACACAGTAGTATCGTAGAGACAGATAAATCATGTGAAACAATCAGTTACCTAGAGTCACTCCTAGTGCTCCTAATGGTCATTTTACGTAGAATCCACCTGGCTGAACGATAAACAAATCCCAATCAGCTGTTTACTAATTCAACAATATGTCACGTGGTATAATTTAGCGTAGTGTTCATTTCCCACAAGACTTAATTAGAGTAAATAAATAATATAATATTATTTATCCAATATCTACTACATTTAAATTCCACGTGTACTCGATCAATCAACCAGTTTCTGAAATGTTCGAGAGACTGAATCTGAGTTTGTTTTTTGGTAGTCAATTCATTCTATCGTTAGGGTAAAAAGGCAAGAGTGGTAAGTACCATGGACATGAACTCTGTGTGTGAGAATTAAGCTGTGAATGTAACATATTTTAAATTTATGAGATTAGCCAAGTGACAGGTTATAAACAATGTTTAGAGTAGGGTTTTAAGTTGGCATTATTAACTGTTAGTGGAACAGATGTGGAAATTAGAAATAAAGCCGCTGAGGTCCTCTCCGCCCCTGAAGGTAAATGATAGGCACTGGCGACCGTTGACAATTTCCGTATGTGGTAATTATCTCATCTTATTCCCTACAATAGGACTGAACACAATGTTGGAAGGACACAGACCTTTGCTAACGCTTGACTGTCACTGTACCTGTCTGTGAAAGCATGCGAAGATGGATGAGATAGACAATTTTCGGAATGTCTAATTATAGGACAACTTAAGACGAAGTGGCAAATTATGAATCTTAATAGCCAGACGTATACTGAGCTGCTGTGACCTGCATTTTTCTAGAGATGTTTCGGTCCTGTTGACATACTCAAGTTATGTATAGGCCATTTGACATAAAAATACTATGGGTATAAAACAACAGGAAGTTAGCATATATTAAGCACAATTATCATTCAATAATACTCAAAATGTTAAATATATTGGAATGAGATCAATCTGAAATTCCTATT